CCAAGAACCATGATGACAAAATCCACGTTTACTAAGTCAAAATGAACCAACAGAGCCAATTTTAACTTCGTCAATGAGAAGTGATAACGGATGAAAAAGTGATAATGGATGAGGGTAAACCCAAGGCATCTCTTGGCATTTCAAGAGATTCTCAAACAAGCAATTTCCGCCAACATGGAAGACCCACTCCCCTCCTGGCAATACCACCCATCCTTTGAGTTATAACCTTGAGTCTTAACAGCCTCGGGCATGGCACTACCCACAGCTGAAGTGGGAAGAATATTATCACTTTGTCTCTGCTTAAAAATCACCTTCCTGAACAGAGGAATAAATAAGAAAGGCTAACCGTAGTACGATTTACAGTAATTATTTTATCTACTTGTCTGCTTGCTAATCATGTCTTGTCTCCGACCTATCACCCTATCAGGCAGGAGCTGGTCTTCATATATTTCTCCTACTTAACCTCGTATCTGACACCCAGTAGGCACCAAATGAATGTTCACTGAATGAAGGATCAAATAGAAAATTTCCCCAGATCCATGCCACATATGAACACCCAGAAATACTAGTCTCTAAATCCATTGGTGAGGAGTAGTCCTCTCACTGGATACAGACATCCAGAAGGAAATATGTTCCAGGGGCACCCGGGTCGCTCCATGGGTGAGCGTCTGCCTTCAGCAAAGGGCATGATCCTGGGGTCCTGGGATCGAGTCATGCATCAGGCTCCCTGCATGGAGCCTGCTTCTCCTTCTGCCTGTGTCTCTGCCTCTCTCTCTCTGTGTCTCTCATGAATAAATAATCTTTTGTTTAAAAAAAAAAGAAGTATACTCTAAATATAGGAAACAGTCACTTATATATGCAACCATTCATTGACTCCAGAGCAGCTCAAGCAGGAACCTGCAAGCCCTAAGCCAATCCTGATAGTCTGGTCTTCAGAGGTTATAATGACTGGCTCTAAATATATAATATAAATGGAGGATTTTAACCATCACACACAACCCAAGGTCCAAGTAGACTGCACAAACCCTTCCAGGGAGATGTGACTCAACTTAACCCTGGCCCCAACCTTGCTGGTCATCAAATCCCTGGGGTGGAGGGAGGGCTCTGTGGTTTATCCTGAGAACTAGATGTTGCCTTTCCAGCATAGGGTGCCTCTAGAATCTGCCCAGGCTGCTCAGAAGGGCAAGTTCTCACTCCCAAGAGGACTCTGCTCAGAGGCTCCCGGGAAAGGCTTTCCTCCACGATAAAAAGAGTGGGGCACGGCAACTCCACTTGTGCACTGACGAGGCCAGAAGCCCAGACCTGCTGGAACCATCTACCAGCCATGTGGGGACAGCACAGAGACAAGAGTAGGGCACAGGGGATGGCAGAGGAGAAAGCTGGAAAGTGCCTTGCCCTTGACGTTGTTATCACAGCTGAGTTGACCAGCCCCGAATCCTCCAACCTGCACACCCTACCAAGTGAACTCACAAATGCCTAGTATTTACATCTCTCATGTTAGGCGTTTGGATACTTACAGCTGAACACATCCTGATACACACTCCTTCCTGGACACCAGCACACCCAGCCCATAACGTCTCTCCCCTTTGTCCCTGATGTTTGCTTTAACCCCACAGCTCGTTTCATGAACCATTGCTCCCAGAAGCACCCCTGGTTCTGTACTGCCTGGGGGAGGGGCATTCACATCTGAGGGAACTAAAGTACCTTCCCTCACCTGGCCGCTCTCTCTGGCTCATCATCCTGTTTTGTTTTATTTGTAACATTATCACATGTGGAAATTATATTGGGCATTGTCTCTATTCTCAAGGTAAGCTCCAGGAGAAGAGGAAGCCCATCTATTTGGATCACAACTGTTGTCCCAGCACCGTAGTCACGGTCTGGCACATCGGAGCGGGTGCTTAAAAAATATTTGATGGATGCATAAAGGAACAGATGGCTCCAACCTACTTTTCCAGCATGTTCTTCCTAAATACTTCTTCGCAAAATGAAATCCTTCTCCCATCAATGAAAGTCGGAACAGTGCACCATGCAGGGTGCCTCTATTTGCTTGTGTGTTTTACAAGAGAATAAATGAAGGAGGTCGTGTGTGATGACTCCCCTGCCTCTCTCCTTCCTCCATGTCACAGCTTCCTTTGATCCACACAGCCACTCAATCTCTGACTCCTCTGCAGTCCCACCAGAACCACCCCCCTGAGCCCTAACCACTTTCCACCTTGTCTCACTGGCATGTCTGCCACCATGCTCCCTCCTCCCCACCCCACCCCCCAGAATGTGAGTCCTTCGGGGCAGGGTCTGTGTCCTGTTTGTCTATGTGTCCCTCCTGGTTGACACACAGAAGATGCTCGAGGCACATTGGTGGAACGAGCAGAATGCAAATGCCAGGACTGTGGCTAGTCGTGGGTGATGGGCTGGAAGGAGAGCAAGTGTCCAGGTCCACACCTCACAGAGTGTTTCCTTAACCCGCTGGGGAGCGAGGCTCACCCCAGAGAGAGGCAAAATATTAGGAAATCAAATGAGGTGCTGAAAATGACAGGTGTAGTGACTCTGGCCACTTCTCTCTCTGGGACTCGGTCCATCTGTACAATGACAAGGTTGGACCAGATGGTCTCTGGGGATTATGGTAAAGGGAGCAGGATTTTAGGGCAGGACCGACTTGGGTTTCAACACTGCTTCTTCCACTGGTTAACTGTGTCGCCTTATATCCATCAATCCACCTCTCTGGGCACATCTCTGAGGTAAAACAGCATGAATGACACCCACTTGGTAAGACTGGTAAGACTGTTGGGTAGATTAAATGAGGGGGTGAGTGGAGCTCCTAGCTCCACGGCCTCTCCTCTCGTCCTTCCTGCTTCTACTGCTTCGGCCCCTGAAGTCCCTGTCCCAACTCTTGACCAGCCATCACAAGCATCCCCCATACCTTTCTCTGCCCCAAGTGGAGGGAAACAAGTCCTCCTAATCAACGACCCCTGTAGTCAAGCAACAGCGGCCTGACCACTATGGGACTCTGGCCTCCTGGCCATGAGTCTGCAGCTGGCATCTCACTGAACATTCACCAAGCTGGTTCATCTTCCTCCTGACACAGGGATAGCTTCCATTTCCCAGCTCCCTTGCACATAGGCGGGGTCATGTGACTCATGCTGGCCCCAGAATATGAGCAGGAGTTACATTAACCACTTCCACGTCTGACTCATTAAAATTCCTTCCTCTTCCGGGCAAAACTTGGAGGGTGACACTATCACTATTTGGAAGGGGCTGGGTGTCCAACTACATCTAGACCTTGGCATGAGTGAGCAATGATGTGCCCAAGACTGGAGGGCCCACTCGTTACTGCCGGGGAGCCCAAGCGCCCCTAGCAGCATCGGATAGCCTGATGCTCCCGGGGGCACCATGTCTAAAGCAGGACGCGTGATCTTTACCCTCTCCCCATCTCAGGGCAAGTCCCTCACTCTCTGGATTCACCCTCCATAAGGAGTGGGAGTCAGCCTTCCCCACCCCCCACCCTCTGCAAGCTTCTAGTGTCCCAGTGCATGTTCCCAATCTCTTCAGGGGCATCTGGTGCTCTTGTGCCAACTGGCAACTTGTCCGCAGCATGGCATCCTGGAGCCCCCACTGGAACATCCACTATGCCTCCTCGATCTGGGCCGCAGTTTGCTCACATATGCCCTAAGAACTCAGAAGGCTCCCCTGCTCTGACATCTACAAGCCCAGGGAAGTGTGTCAGACGGTGACACCCAGCAGATTGCACCCTGGCCCAGCCACCACGCAACCCATGAACTCCCCTCACTGAGCAAACACATTTTATTGGGCCAGGGGACACTTCCTGGCCAACCTATTCCCATCCTCCCTCGTCCTGCTCCCACCAAGCCAGTTCCCTATCATGGCACCTCCCCGAGGCCCCCTTGCCCACCCTTCAGCTCCACTCTGCCCCCTGCCCCCTGTTCCTAACACCTGGATCCCTGGCCTTAAGGAGGGTGGAGAGTTCCTTTTCTTATCAACTCTTTTACTGCCCCCTCCTCCCTGATTACACAGTAATTGGGAACAGAATTCCCCGTAAGGACAGGTGGATGCCTTGTCAGCTCCCAGCCAACAGTTTACAGGACAGACCGAGAAGGTCTCCTTGGTGCTGTCTCGGGAGACAGATCAGGGGCATACAAGCCTGGAAGAAGCAGAAAGGACACCAAAAGGAAGGGAGAGTCACCCTGGGTCAGGAGCCTCTGAGAGGCTTGTGAGGTGAGGCCAGGGAGACTGGAAGGCAGGCCAGAGACGCCGGCACTCCGCCCAGCCCGTCCCAGACAGCCAGCCTATGGGGGTCCGGAGACCCCCAATCTAAGCCCACACCTGCCAGACCACAGAGGCCCAGGTGCTCCAGAAAGCCTACTCTGGAGTCTGGAAGCACCAGACCTAGAAGTCCAAGAGGGTTTCTGGGAACTCCTTTCAAACAGCAGGGTGGCCCGGATCTCAGCTGGCCCCGGGGGCCCAAGGGTGGCACTCGAGCCTTCCAGAGACTGCCCAGAGCCAGCAGGAAGGGGCCACAAGTGGAGAAAAGGCAAAAGTGGACATCTCCTCTTCCTTCCAGCTCTTTGCCTTGTTCCCCACTGACAGCGACCTCAGGGGCCCCAGCCTAGCCTGGGGATTTTGAAAGCAACCACGCCGGAGAGGACCCTTTGCAGCACAACTGAAACCAGCAGTGGCCATGGTGGCTCCCTTCCTGCAAGAGCTCTGAGCCCATGGGCATGGGAGATAGCGTATTCCAGCTCTCCCAATGTGACCTGCCTCCTCCATCCCAGGAGTGTCCCCGTGGAGACAGAGCTGTGCTTGGATAATTGGACATGAGGCTCTCCATGCTCCACCTCTGCTTGCCCTTTTGATTCCAGGATTCTCAGGGGAGGAAGTTCGCCACCCTCCACCAGCATCGCCCTGGGCGCACACAAGGTCCCCCTCTGCCCCTCCTCACAGCCACCCACGGAGGGCATCACGGCAAACCCTGCCCTCTGCAAGATATGGAGAGGAAATGCCCGGGGCACTGTGGGGCCCCCAAGAAGCTGGAGCTGTCCTTCTCCATCGAGGAGATCTTAAAGAGGCCCACTGAGAGCAGCCGCGTGGTCAAGACAGAAGGGGCAGGTGGACAGGACACCTGGCAAGCAGCAGGTGTAAGCTCCGGACTGGAGAGGCCCCCACAGGCCCAGCCCCAGGGTAAGTGTCTTCTGGACATTTCTCTCCCACTCCTAGATCCCCAAGAGCCAGCTGGGCTCAGGCAGAGAAAAAGCCGCTCCCTATCAATAGAAGGGAGGACCCCAAAATTCAAAAAGAGGTCAGGTGCTGGGCCAATAGCCTGAAGTACTTTTCTGTCTAGCCAGGACTGGGCTTTTTCAGATTCCAGACCCCAAGGTTCTGTCGGCGCAGATGCAGGGAGGCGGGTTCCTGTAAGCAGGCTACAACTCAGATGCCGGGTCCCATTTATTTACACAGCATTCCTGCTGGGTGGGTGCTAGCCTAGAGCCTTCTCTTTCATTTCAGTAGAAAGGCATGATTATCATAACCTGACAGATGAGGAAACTCACCTGTGAAAGAGAAGAGGTGGATTATGTCCCCAAGATACACAGCCCGTGATGGGAAGACCTGAGAGCAGGACCTGGCTCTGGCTGCCCCCCAAACCCCTGCTCAGCCCGACATGGTCTTCTTCAGGAGCAGGGTTCAGCCTGCAGGTCTCCTGGTGGCTGAAGCTTCGCCTGGGATCTGCCCACCCTGATCACCCTCCCAGGCCAGCAGCCCACCCCGGGGCATGTCCCCAAACACCAATGACAAGACAGATCTCAGAGCTCTCTTGAGAAGCAGTTTGAGGAAGGGCACCAAGGTGGACATGTGCACCTGCGGGGAGGCAGGAGTCCTGGGTGGCCCTCCCCGGCCTCCCCTGGGCTGCCATGTGACCTCTGAAAGGTCTCTTTCTCTCCGGCCTCAGCGTCGCCTCAGGGAATGGGTTGAGTAAGGGAAGAGGAAGCAGTCAGAGAGGTCAGGAGGGTCTGCTGGTGCCTGGTTGTTAGGGAAACTGGAGTATTGTGGGGTTTTCTCAGTCTCTCCCCTTTCACCCCCTTTAATCCAAGGAAAGGCTGGAAAGGCAGCTCCAGGGTGCTCAGGATGTCTTCTCCTACCATCACTGAGCCCCACCACCTCTCCCAAGTTCAGTCTCCCAAGACAGGCTTGCACTCAGCTCCACGCAAGGGGAAAATCCTGGAGGACTCCCTGCCCCTGGGTAGCTGGCAGGTTTCCCCTGCTGCTGAGTCTCTCATAGGAGAGGGTCCCCAGCTTCACATCTGGAAGCTCACTAACACCTTACAGTGAATTGAATGAGCATTAGAAACAGTTCTGAGCGTCTAACCCGAGTCTCTCCTGTTGCAGCTACACAAAATCCATGACTGTCTTCCCTGTCCTAATGAGAGAGAAAGAGGGGTGGGGGAGCGGGAGAGGGAGAAAGAAGGAGGGAGAGAGGGAGGAGAAGCCCAACCCCCCTACCAGAGCAGCTTCCCTTCCCCTAGCCTGACAAGGCTGATGGCAAAAAGGGAGGCACTCGTTTGGAACCTGCCCCCGAAGATGCTGGCAGGCTCACATCAGAAGTCCCGCTGAACCCAGAGCAGGTTTGCAGAAATAGCACTGGTCAGGGTGGGTGGTGCCTGGTGGCTCTTGTGGCACATCCCTGGCTGTTTCTCACGGAACTGCCACAGTCGTGAGCCCACCTTATGGATGATGCCCCCAAGAAGAGCATCACCTGCACACACCATGTGCATAGTTAGCACTAGCATTGCACCCCGGTGGCCTGAGACTGTCCACTCGAGGTTATTCGTGGATGCGGCTTAAATCTATACATCTCCCGTCACGCTGCATTCGAGCATTTCCAAAAGGCTAGTGAAGATCCCGCTGGTGGTTTTCTAGATGAGTTTGAGGACTACGCAGACAAGGCTTATTCGGGTCAAGAGTTCTGTAGTTATTCCTACACTAACTTGCTATTTCTGACATGCAAATAGTTATCCATTTACGGTCACGATGTGAGGCTTTCTTTTAAGATGGATTTTTTTATCTGGGTAAAACAAAAAGCCTATTTGTGAAAATGCTAAGCAAATAATTATACGGATGGGACACCAACATGTCAAGGAACTACAAGCCTAACGTGCAGACATGGCCCACGAGCTGGAGTCTGTGAGACTCTGGGCAAGGAGGATGGGGAGCTGGATTCCAGAAATCCGGTCTCTGAGCCCCCATCTGGTACCACTAATTCACCGGAGGACCTCGGGGAAGCTGCTCCCCTCCCTGGGCCTCCGTTTCCCCATCTGGAACATGAAAGAGCAGGACTAGAATGTTCCTAAGGTCCCTCCCAGCTCAGGGGTGCCGTGACCAATTCCACAACAAATCGGTGGCTGGAAAGCCTCAGTGGTATCAGTCATGGCCATTTTCTGGCAGAGGCTTCCTCCCTGCAGAGGGGAGTGGAGGCTGTCCGAGCCAGGCAGGAGCAGGGTAGCCGGGAGCGGTGAGCAAGAGGGCTACTGGCTTCAGCAGTGTCCGCCTCTCCCCACCTTCCTGGGGCCCCCATCCCCGCCCAGTGCTTGCTGCCCCTGCTAATGTCCCCTCCACGTCTCTGTCCTGCTGTCTTCCCTCAGAGGATGGAAGGCAACAGGACCAGAAATGGTGTGTCCAGGGCCCCCAACCCCAGAAATAAAAACAGAGAAATAAAGTTAACGCTTGAAGGGCTTCGCAGAGTGGCTCACAGAAGGTGACTGGCAAGCATGAACTCTCTCTGTCCCCATCACCTGGACAGCTGGTAAACATAGAGAGCTCTTCAGGTTCAGCACCCAGGGGGCCCAGGAATCAGCATTCTAGCAAGCTCTCCCAAATGACTCTGATATCGGTTGTCCAAGGACCACGCTTTGAGGAGGCTGAGGCCCAGGGAGGCAAAATGGCTTGTTCTGAGCTACAGGGCCAATACGTGTGAGCGTGGGGCCAGCTCGCTCACCTGGGCCAGGGCCAGTGCTCTTCCTCCCCGGCTTCTCATGGCAGTGAGCCTCATCATCTCAGGCTTGGATCCCCCCATGTCTCCAGTCAATGGAAAAATCCAAGTGGTCTACCTGCTTGAAATGATGCTAAGCCCAGCTGTCCACTCACTCCTGAGAGAGGCAGCTCCCTGAGGCTCAGGACCCTCTGAAGTCACAGGAGGTCCAATCACAAGGAAGCCAGACCCGGGGAAGAGAGAGGTCATTTGTGCCACCCATGGCCCCATACAGGGAAATCGTGATGCCTGGGCAAAAGGGAGGGCAAGGTGAGGAAGAGGCCACCCCAATAGCTTCTGATCTTTCTCTCTTTAAACGCCTCCAAAACTTTGCCCTTCCAAAGCCACTGCTCCTCCTCCCCTGCTTCTAACTCCTTTTCCTCTTCTTTCTGCTCCCTTTGCACACCTCTTCTTCTCCTGGTCCTGTTGTAGCAAATCACGGCACACTGAGTGTCTTAAAACAACAGAAGTTGATCCTTACAATTCTGGAGGGCAGAAGTCCGAAGGAGCCCCTGGTGTTCTTCCTTCTCCTCTCTCTTCCCCGTCCTCCCTTCCCAACCACCCCATCTGGAACCCAAGGCAATGGCACTGCCCAGCTACTGGCCCTGGGAATTGGGATTCCTGGCTGAAGCTGCAGCCAGACCCAAGGGTGTCTTGTTGCCTTGTGATGAGCAGCTCTGTCCCAGGGGCTCCCACCAGAGCAGACAGGAGTGGGGTGGAAGGAGGAGAGCTGAAAGCCTGGAGTCCCCTGGATTAGTATGGCTTTGGTCTCTCTCTGCCTGGGCCCCTCTCTCAGTCCCCGCCGCCAGAGCCACAACCTTAAGAGACCATGGAGACGCTCCTACGGGGCACCTGCAGGCTCATTCTAGAATTGAGAACCTGGCTGAATCTTAAGCCCTGTGGGAGTATAAAACAGAACAAGGCTTGGTCCCAGCTTGCAAAAAAGCATGGTCTTCCTGGGGTTTCCCCGCAAAAAGCAGGCCAGAAGGAAAGGATTGGAGCACCAGGGGTTTATGTGGACATGCAAGGACACCAGCACGGAGGTAGCGAAAGCATACAAAGAAGGGATACGTGATGAAGCCAGTGACCATGGTGGGAAATTAAGCTTAAATCCTCTGAGAAATGGAGCAACTATACTCCCCAGAATTATCTGGGCTTTTGAGCTCAGAAATATATATCGTGGCAGTAAGAAGTTGATCTGAAGCATGGAAAGGTCTGAGGGACGCAAGCAGGGCATGGACAGCTTTACTCTAATGACAGGGCCCCGGAATATCAGAGCCAGGGGAGATCAGAGTAGACACACAAAGCATTGGCTGTCATTTAAATTTGATCTATCCATTGTATTCCTCATCCAGGCATGCGATAAAGAGTGACTAAAGTCTACTGAGTGGCAGGCATATCTACTGCTGCACAACGAACTATCCCCAGCCTCAGTGGCTTAAAATAACCATAAACAATAATTGTCTCACTCAGAGTCTGTGGATCAGGAATTTGGGAGTGATTTCACTGAGGAGCTCTGGCGCAGAGTCCCTTATGGGATTGCAGGAAAGATGCCATCTGGGGCTGCAGCCACCTGAAGGCTGAGCCACAGTAAAGGACTGGCTTCTAAGGTGGTCACACTATGGCTGTTGAGTTGGTGGCAGCTCAGTTGGCTGAGGAGGAAACCTCAGTTTCTCCCCATGCAGGGCCTCTGCACGTGCCACTAGAATGTCCTCGCAAAGTGACAGTGGCTCCTCTCAGGGCGAGCAATCCAAGAGAGAGAGAGAGAGCAAAGTAGGAGCTGCATCCTTTTATGACCCAGCCTGAGAAACTTGATAGCAGTAGTCCCATTGCATTCCATTTGCTCTGCAAGTCAACTGAGTTGGGTCCCATTAAAGGAGAAAAGAATCCCTAGGGAGGAAGTGTCCAAGAATTTGCAAACCTATCTCAAAGCCACCACAGGAGCTCAGTTGTGAGTGGGATGATGTAGGGAACAAAACACAAGCTCAGCCTCTGCCCTCACATAGCTTCTAGTCTAGGAAGGGTGACAAATAGCCATCTGATAATCACAAGTGAAAGCAGAGACAGCTGTGGTGTCAGGAAGAAAGTGACATGGTACCAAGGGCCTATGCTGAGGGACGTCTGGTCTACCAGTGAAGGCTTCCAGAGAAGGTCATGG